TGTGTGAATCCTTTTATGGATCCTCAGTGCTCCAGAATCACTGAAGCGTTTTCCACACTCGGGGCACTGATAGGGTTTCTCCCCAGTATGGGTCCTGCTATGTATGACATAGCTATTTTTTGCACTGAAGCTGTTTCCACACGTGCGGCATTCGTATGGTTTCTCTCCAGTGTGGAGCCTTTTGTGATGAGCGAGGGACCGCAAATCAGTGAAGCATTTGTCACATTCAGGGCACTTATGAGGCTTTTCACCTGTGTGGATCCTTTTATGGACAGTAAGACTACGTGAATTACTGAAGCTCTTCCCACACCTGGTGCATTGATATGGTTTCTCTCCACTGTGGATTCTTCTGTGTGACGTTAGATGATCGCATTTACGGAAGCTCTTTCCACACTCCAAGCATTTGTACGGTTTCTCCCCTGTGTGGCTCCGTTCATGGACATGAAGGCCACCAGAAGTGGAAAAGTGCTTTCCACACTGCAGGCATTGAAAGGGCTTCTCCCCTGTGTGGATTCTATGATGGGATGTAAGGGTTGAAGAACAATGGAAGGTCTTTCCACACTCCCTGCATTCAAATGGTTCTTCTCCCGTGTGGATCCTCTCGTGTGATTTAAGATGAACTTTTTGATTGAAGCTTTTTCCGCACTGCAGGCATTGATAAGGTTTCTCCCCTTTATGCATCCTATTATGTAAGGTTAGAGCACCACTTCTGCTAAAGCTTTTTCCGCACTCCAGGCATTCATAGGGTTTCTCCCCTGTGTGGATCCTCTTATGGGAAGTAAGAGTACCTGGGGCACTGAAGCATTTTCCACACTCTGTGCATTTATACGGCTTCTCTCCAGTGTGGATCCTCTTATGTGAATTGAAATTGCCCTTTTGTGCAAAGCTTTTTCCACACACGGCGCAATGATATGGCTTTTCCCCTGTATGGATCCTATTATGGCAAGTGAGGTCACTTGCAGAGCGGAAGCTCTTCCCACATTCCAGGCATTTACATGATTTCTTCCGAGTGGGTCTTTTTTTCCGGGAATTCGGTTCCTTGCTTTGAGTAAACC